CCCCCCCCCGAAAGGAGTCTGGCCCGTGATTCTGCAACATCTTGGGCATAAAGTGGGACCATTCAAGAACACTTCTGTTGCCAGGCGACAAATGGAGCTTATGATTTCACATTTGGCATTAGAGATCTCAATATGAAATGTTAATTTACTTGTGGATATTGGATCCTAGATTCAATTTAGTTTCCTACTGGGCGCAAACTTGAGTAAAATCATTGCCTCGAGACCCAGTCACAACCTAAACTAGGAATGTTGTCTATATCGGCTAAACATTTGCCAGAACGAGATGAATTCGGTGGTTTAAGCGTCTGAATTTCATCAGTTGATTTTATAAAAATGCGGATACAATTAACATCATTATATATGTACAAATGCATATATGCATTAGCACTATAGGCCATATTTATGTCTTTACTGACAGACCAGAAAGTAATGCCTGCTCAGTCAGACCCTAAATTTCTCTCTTAGGCACATTCAGGCACGCGGAAATACACATGAAAACAATAATCTCAATATAAACCTATTAGTACAAGAATAGATACTTACCTGCATGCATATATACATACTAAGTTACTTATTTACATACATACATACATACACATACATATATATATATGTGTGTGTGCGTGTATACATGGACGCATGAAAGAAGCTAGGTAGATAAGTAGGCAAATATGTTGTTATTTATCTATGCATATGTATGGATGTCTGCACCTATGTATGTATGTATGTATGTATACATGTGTGAAAGTATTTGTGTTCATGTCATTTTTTGTACATGTATGCGTGTGCATATAAAAGAAAGAGCTTTAGAGCTATAAACTAAATGACGGAGATTCTGGGGGAGCAAGGGCAAAAGGACGAGGGGCAAGGGGCGAAGGGCGAAGGGCGAAGGGCGAGGGCGAGAGGCGAGGGGCAGGAGCGAGGGTGAGGGCCGACCTATTCCTACCGGACTTGGGAGATAAGAAAACTCGACTGGAAGCCACTCACCGTGTACTCATCTCGTCTAGTCTGTGCCCGAAGGAGGAGGCAGGTGACGGCGAGGCTTGAGGAGCCTATTTATTGAAGAGGCTTTGCTTCTGCTGACTCTGCCGCCTGGGCGCCAGTCCTGCGCTACGACTCGGATGGAGGGAGATCGTGTCTGTAGCCCTGTCTGCTGGAGCAAGAGTGACGCCGACTCACAGACGAGCCGGTTGGCAACCGACGAACCGGCTGGCTGGTTGGCTGGTTGGCTGGCTGGTTAGCAGAAGCGAGAGACGACCAATCCGCGTCGGAGACTGTCGCCGGCAGAGACAATCGAGAGTCCGCCTACACGTCGGTTTGATCGTCTCTGCCACTCTCAGACTCACTTTAGAGCCGACAAGCAGCACAAGTGCCTGCGGCCGTCTCGAGGCCGTCGTGGCACCGGCCGACCCCCGCACAAGCCGTGGCACTCGGCGAGACTCAAACCGCTACGCGATGCCATGGCCACGGATTCACTCCTCTCTCCCCGAACCCGGCTTCTATTTTCTCCTCGGCTAGTTGAAGAGCATCCAACTCAGAGCTTCCTACGCAAAACAGTGTAGACAAATACTCATATGCATACCTACATACAGACATACAAACTTAATGGTTACATACATACATAAATAGTTACATATATACATACCTATATAATTACATACTTACAAGCATACATATATAATTGTATACATACCTACCTATCTACCTATATACATACATACATACATACATACATACATACATACATACATACATACATACATACATACATACATAAATATCAACATACATACATACATACATACATACATACATACATACATACATACATACATACATACATACATACATTATTAGAGGCATACAAGCATAGATACAGAGGCCTGATAACAAAGCGGTTGAGGAACAAACTAAATTTGATATTTCCAAATTAAGTATAATTCGGGAATATCGGTCGAGGTGACCGGATTGTATTCATTGAATGAATGAGCTGAGAAGAGATGAGGTTACGCTTTATTCAACCATTCTCTTTCACCCTGTTAACCAGACTTTATTGTAAGAATGATACCATTCTCCTATAATATCCGTGCTTATAGGAACAAAGCACTTGTTAGTTTTCACTCGAATTGAAGGGGAATCGAGGTCGTCAACCTAAAAGTTCCAGTAAATCCAAACGGCGTATGGAATTTCCATAATCTTTACTTAAATCTCTTTGGTTGTAATCTCTAAGCTTACTCTAGTTCTTAACAGAAAATTATTGACTTCCTCGACTTTAATGACAAATTCAGGATCGCTCGGTAGTCAAGTCTAAATTGCGGCCTACTTTGAGTTCACATCTCTCCTGTGACCCACTGAGGCCCCTCGTCTGAGCCGTCTGGCAGAACAGTAACCTGTCGACACATCTTGCTCGACCAGAGTTCGAGCCCCATCTAGGATGCTGATGGGCCGGATGGAAAAATAACTTTTTAGGAGTTCGGCTGAATAAAAATGACTGGCAACATAAATAATACTCATACGATCGTTGTAAAAGTCCACTCTCCCACCTCAACTCACCTAAAGTGACCCAGGCTGACTCAAGTTAGTTGTCGGAACCTCGGAAGCAGAGGCTAAAACAAGGTCCTCAAATAGTACGATTAAATGTCGATTTCAGTCAACTGCGTCAGACAGCCGACGAGTCCTAGCCTTGACAGGATAGTCCTAAGCTCGTTTGCGAATCTTCTTTGTGTTTCCATGGCGACGTTGACCAATGCACTTTGTCCGGCTTCCACTGCATGATACTTTTCGGCGCCTTTGATGGCTGATCTGATGTTACTTCTAAATACGGAATATTAATGTACCTTCCTTTTTACACCACATGCCCATCGACTAGCTCAACAAAGTCAAACTGGAAACATGCATGCTAAGCATACAGTTTACGACCAAATTGGCAGATGTCTCATTGTTGTTGCAATGTTGGGTTTGAGATGTAAGTAGGATTTCAAGAAAAACTGGGTATTGTGACGGGACTTTTCAGTTTGAAAGAAAAGTTGGCTCGAATGAATTCGTGAAATGGTCTCACCAGAAAGTAAAGAAAGACTACCGCCGAGTTAGGACCGGTATTGTGTATAGACGCTAACACACACACACACTCGAGCAAAAGTAGCAGGACCAGTATGAAAGATAATTAGCCAAACCACTCTATGTCGATCTAGGTTTTTAATTTTCTTTTGGCTCAACTGAGTCTATATAAGAGGTAAGAAAAAAGCCGGATAGTCTTTTGGCTTAGTGTTAACGTTTGACTTTTACAAGAATGACACCCAACTCGGATAATATTTCTCGAAATGAGGGAGGAGATCTCGTGGACTGCGTCAACCTGAACGTCGCTGCAGTACCACGTGATTCATCCGTCCTCATCTGGTGAGATCGACCAACGAATCTCTTCTTCATTCACTTTCATACGAAATGAATATCGCCCTAGCAATGTTATGCCAGGATATTCATCGAAACCAAGTTTCTCTTCGTAACTATCATCATTTTAAGTTTACAATTAGGTGAGCTGAGAGATGTATTCCATTTATTTAGTGTAAGGCGATGAAGGTGTTGTAATTACATTTTTCCTCAATCAGATGTTTCCATTGCATTACTCGGGTTACAGTTCCGCTGGGGTACTGATCATACCGGTTCAGGCGAGATCGAAGCTGCAGTACACTTCG